ATTGCTTATATGCATGACCAGAATATTTTCTCTCTCAAAAGAAAAAAAGAGTCATGTTTAGTGAATATATGCTTAAAGTCCTAAAAAATTTGTTGCATTAACATGGTTAAGAAACTGGATTTAAGCTTTATCACAACATGCCTTAGCTTACGGTAAGCACAGACTCATTTATAGATTGTTTTTTCAATATGCAATTTTTGAATAAGCATACACTAATGTAAACGAGTTTCCTGGTAAATGAAAAATAGGGAAGTAATTGTAACTTCTGTACTGTGTCGAAGACGCAGTAATAAGCCAAGGCCAATGCCCTGGGAATGTTTAATGCATGAATAAACTTTGATTTCTGTGAATGAACATAAGACAAGCAACACACCAATCCTATATGCCAGAAATGAGCAATTTTGCACAAGAAATTTAGAATACATGCTGCCTTGGGTAGAACTGAAAGAGTGAAGCTGATAGGCAGTTCTCTGCTAAAAGCAGTATGTGAATCAGAATCAGACTATGGTTAAACAACTGATATTTTTGGTAAATGACTAAAAGGTTACTACACCCTTTTAACTAACTCATAGCTTAAAAAAATACAATAAGCTGCATGAGACAGACAGGAACCAGAGTATTTAACAAGATAGCATATGATAAGTATTCAGCTACAGGCTGATTTCATACTATTGGATGTCATGCTCTTCTTCACTCCCAGAAGACATTTTCCTGCTGAGGTCAAATATGTTGCATATGTAACATACAGGATTTTTTCTTCTTGATCTACAACTACAGGCCTAGAAACAATATCTGCTGAGGAAAGATATTTGTACTCATATAGAAAGGACTTCAGGGTATGAAGTAGCTTTGGATGCCACTGGTATAAACCTATAATAATCTGAATGATTAAAAGAAACTATCATTTTATTAAACTTTAATTTTCATAGCAGTTTAAATGTGAAATGTTAAGAACTATGCCAAAGAATAAATATATTGTTAGCCATTCAACCAAATCAAAACAAATCAATATTTAGCAGTTTTAACACATTTTACTTTCAACATTTCAAAGGATGTCAGAGCACTGAATTTGGAAATCTCTCTGAACACATTCAGCTGAAGTTTATTAAGACATGAAATGTACTTTTTTGGACAATATTTTCAGAGAAAGCTTTATTTCAGTTTATTCAAAAATGTCTATGTCCTTATACCTGCAAAACCTTCATACATTCCGCAAAGCTAGTAGAAAACTGTGGGCTTTCTGATGATGCCTTGTGCAAACATTTTTATGACACAAAAAGTTTTCAAATCTGCCAGTAATAAACTGTCCGTCTGCAATCAGACATTTTGCTAGGTTCCTTCCAGCTTTAGACTGCTTCACAGCTAATAGATGGAGCTAAAACCCAAACATCTTAGCTTGGCAGTCTGCTAGGCCAGTGCCTACAGGAGGCAAGAAAATCTTTAAAAACCTTAGGTACTTCCAAAAACTTTCTTGCCTGTCAAATGAAGAGGAATTTATCTGGTCCCTCTTTATTCCTTGGAATACCAAAAAGATGTCAGACCAACCATAAACGAAGAACATGTGATCATGATGAGATCAAAGAAGCATTAAGTTGAATAGTACTGCATTCATTAGATGGACTCTTGCAAAGCAACATCATTCTAAGAGCATGAAGGACTTGCTCCCTTGATTCTACTTTGCAGCATGGAAATATGGGTACCTTTCAGAAAATAAAGATGGTCTGGGAGTCAAATAAGAGCCTGAAAATGACAAATTTGCGCTAGTATTCATCCTGTGTGACCATGAAACAAAGACAGCACTGATGAGAAAGCTACAGTAAAAACAGCTGAAATAGCCCTTAGTTATTATGTTTATATATACCAGTTATTCAAAATGAACACCAGTCTATTCACTGTTATTAACATTTTTAGACAAAAATATAAGAACAATGTTTTAAGAGAAAAAGGATAAAATATTCCAACTGAGTTGACTTTCTACTGTCATGTTCATAAAATGTTAATTCTCCCCACCTTGAAATTTAGAAGCAACCTATTGCTTCCATTGAAGACAGATGACCACATTCATCATTCAATTTAGACCACTCAAACAGCTCATCCAGAGGTTGCCAATGAGTTCACCACACAAACAATATGAAACAAAAACATAACCCTAACAATTACTTACAGCTGAATTTCAGCTATGAAGTTTCTAGGTATCTGCTAACAGAGGAAGCAATCGGATAAGATTTCATTCACCTGCACTTTTTTTTTTTCCCCACAAATGTAATAATCACTGTGTCTTTAAGGCCTAGCTGACTAGATGCACTGTTTTTATCTACTCTTGAACGGTTTGTGTTGAGTTAACTTGTATTCAGTGCACGAAGCTGTGGACCTCGGGCATATTTTTATCTATAGTTTTAAATGAGCTTAGAGTTGGTTTATGAGATCTACTAGTCTGGCATCATTCTTGTGGAATGTGGTAAGCACTCACTAATGTGGAATCAAAGATGAAAGTGCAAAACTTGATCCTGGTAGTGACTGAAAACGTTCCAATCTGAAATAAAATGTAATATAGAGGGATGAACAAAAAAAGCGTCTTGAAGGCTGAGAGCGTATCTTGTGGATCCAAAAATGATGTCAAATGGTGTTATCAGTAAGAATGTAAATGGACTTGCTGACACACAGAGGGTCAAAACAAGTTGGTATTTCTGCAATAAGAATAAAATGTTTAAGCCCTGAATACTGTGGATAATTTACTGCTCTTCTATCATCTAAATGAACATGCGCCTTCAACAGTATCTTGTCACAAAGATGTGCATGGGAAAGGTAACTCAAGAGTAGGAACTCACTGAAACTACATGTAACATTACCCAAACTCTCTTGCACTCACTAGATCTGGTGATTCCAAGTCAAGTTTCCTGAAAAAAAGTCTGTTACTAAGAGCTGGGGAGGGCCATTTGTGTGCCAGCCTATGCTTTTTGCTTTGTAGCTCGCACAGCCAAGTTAAGCAGTGCAAAAAATGTATCATCTGCTTCCTCCTTCACACTGGAACTGAAGTCATAGAGGACCTTCAAATTCTTAATAAGCAGAGAGTTTCATTACTCTTTGAACATAATCTTAAAATGGCAGTAGTATTTCATGTTTTTAACTCCCATTCTGATAGCTATCTTCATCAGCAACAGTCTTAAGGGCACGGAGGTGCCCATACATCCAAAAGCATGCATGGGCACATTGCACGCAAGGAGGCATGATACACAGAGACTTTGGCTGTCATCTGCCTCTCCCCACACAGGTTTTACTTCTTCCCACTCTGTGGGAGGCTTTTCATAAATGGACTACTTGCTTTAATAAAGTTAGCCTTACCCTGACAGAAGAACATGGTTAGTATCAACACACACTTAGCAAAAGACGAAGATCTCTGCCAAACAATTCCTGATTTACTGCTCTT